GATTACTTTGGAATGCGCCTTTCATTTCGGATGTGATTGAACACTATGACATGACAGAGATTCTATGAATAAAAATGGAAAACGCTTCCCTTGAAATGCTTCTTTCATTTCGAAAGAGATGGAACACTATGACATGGCAGAGATTCTCTGGATAATAATGGAAAACACTTCCCTTGGAACGTGTCTTTCATTTCGAATGGGATGGAACACTATGACATGGCAGAGATTCTCTGAATAATAATGAAAAACGCTTCCCCTGGAAAGCGCCTTTCATTTCGGATGGGATGAAACACTATGACATGACAGAGATTCTCTAAATAATAATGGAAAACATTATGACATGGTATAAATTATCTGAAAATAGGGAAAGCACTTCCACTGAAACACACATTTCTTTTTCTTCAGATTTTATCTTATCCAGCGTTATACACTATATATATAAGAGATGAAGCAAGTGGTCCTCAGTACTTTGTTTTCCGTGTATCTTTTTGATTATGCCATCTATCATTTTCATAGATTTTTCCATCATTTTCAATGGCGACTAAATATTCATTATCTTATCTCCCAAATGATATATTAGCTGAGATTTTACGTTGCGCTGCTTCTAATTCTATTGAGGATTTTCTCCACATTCGTTTAACTTGCTGGGAATTTTGCTTGGCATAAAAATGACAGATTTATATTTGCAAATGTTCGATTTCATCGGTATGCCTTGAAACCTTTGGATTGTTCTTAATGGCTGCACGTACGAAAGGCTTATGTTTCCATAAATCTAGATGCAATGTTCAGGGAAGGTATAGTTGAGTGTTTTTCCAAATATTGTGGCAATGTTGAAGTTGGTTGTCATATCTTGAAGCAAGCTTCTACCATAGTTTTCATCGAAACAACTTACGCTTTAGGCATACGGTTGCGTCACATAAAAGAGAGAATGCAATAAGGATATCAAGTATTGTCTAGCCTAAACCAAATATATATAGAGATGAAGCAAAAAGAGCTTTTCCAATGCAGAAGCATGACTATCTCAACTATTGCCAAAATTTTCTCGGTTTCGTACATCGAAAAGATTCCATAAACATATTGCTCATATGATGACACATTTAGATGTTGCTTTTATTGTTTCTGGAATCGTGAAAGCAATACTTTAATGGATTTTATTCTTAGTAGGACTAATTAAATTCAATATGAGATTTGTTATAGATGTGAACTATAAAAACAACAAACTATAAACATTACATTAAACAACAAACTATTAAACATGACATAAAGCATACCAAACCAACGAACTAGAAATACAACACATATTTCACAGACCTTAAATAGTAAATAAAAGCATACACATACACCTAAAACAGTAAATAAAAGCATACACATACACCTAAAACAGACTTTTCTTAATGATGTTACGATGTCCAATTGCATTTGAACCATACTTTCGGGTGTTCATCATCTATCTCTATGTTCTTGAACTCATTCTTCTTAATTTTTTGAGTAGTCGAACTTGAAGCATCATCATCAAGATCCTCAAACTCTACAAACAAATCTACATGATACAAAATGAGAGTAGTATGTCTCAATCATACCACAAATGTTGACATCATCGCTTAGAAGAAACCTTTTAAATGATACTAGAAATCTACAATATAGAAAAAAAAATCTTCTTTTCCTCCCGAGTTTAACCTTTCTTTCTATTTTAAGCTTCAACTCCTCAAGTGAACTTTTTTTTATTAAAAAACATGCTTAAATATTTGTAATAAAAAAATTGCCTAAATAGCAACCATCCTAGCTAAACAGTTAAAGCTTTTGCCTAAATAGATTAAAATTATCTTTCACCTCGCACATATATATAGGCCTTAGAAAGCGGTCATATAAAACGAGCCTACCCAAATTATTGTGTATTATTTGTCCTTGTTCGAAAAAAGATATTAAACTTCATACAAAAATTTACTTTATATAAATACATACTAACGAAACAAAATAAGAGGAAAAAAGCAATTAAGAGGGAAAATCTTAGTTCATATAAATACATAATAAAAAAAGAGGAAAATACATAATAAACACACAATAAATAAAAAGATTGCCATTGTTTTTAGATTCATCGATGTCTCTTGGAATGTGTTCCACAAGGTGGGGGCCGTCTACTTCTAGGAGGGTTTCTTCTTATATTATACTCATCGTTATCCTCATCCTCCTCCTCATCATCCTCATCTTCCTCCTTCTCGTCATCATTTTCCTCAACCTCATCATCGTCCTCATTGTCATCATCACTCTCAACAACATTGTCTCGATAAGGGATGAATGTTGATATATGACCTCTGTAGAATAAGAATCCTGGAGGTGTATGACTGCCGATCCCACCACTAGCTGAGAACTGCAAAAATTATTAAAAATTGGACATTGATGTCTGTGACGCATATTGCAGTTGAGGTGTTTGTGGTGGAGGACCACCCGCAATATAATTCCCGTAGGAACTAAATGTTGGATCTGTAAGCATAGTCAAAAAATATCTGCCAGTAGGTGTCATAAAACCCTACGAACTTTGTGCGTAACTAAATGGTGGTGGCATATGAATCGAAGAATATGGCCTCTGGACTTGCGATTATGGCATCTGAAAGTGCTATGGTTGCGTCTGAAAGTTAAGTGGTGTCCCCATGTGAATTAGAGGGTTAGGGATATAAACAGGTGTCGCTGGTTACTGGTGTGATGGTTCCAGTGGCATAGCTGAGGATGATCCAGAAGCACTTCTTCTTCATCCAGTAGTGAGGGGACGATGATGTTCTGACGTTGTACATTTTTGTCGGTGATGATGAATTGCCACCCCTCGTGCTTCCGCTAAAAGTAAAATGGATTCCCGTTTGTATTGAACCATTCAATATAACCATCTAAAACCATCGAACCAGTTTTTATTATATATTGTCGATGGGGTAAGCGTTGATGTTGGTTCTCCCACATCGCCAACCACTCCCTATGCTTCACCAACCAATTCACATCTTTCTTGCCCGTCTATCGATGTTATGCATAATGTCAAGGTTCCTTGGTGCTTCTAGAAAAAAATTGTGTAAACCCAAACTGATGAAGCACGTGATCAGTCGAATGACACTCAACAATAGCATCACAAATAAGAGGCACAACAGCCACCCATACATCCAATATCCCACTCAAGTTAGGTGAGATGCAAACCCTCAATTCATTGTTCAAATATGTCAACCATTTTAACTAAAACAAAAATGAGATTCAAATTATATAAATACAATTAAATAAAAAATTAAAATTAAAAAACAAACCTCTACGCAGCTTTCTGGTCAATGTGTAATTGGATATCTTGTAATTCTTGTGGGATATCACGATGATTTTTCCTATTACTTGACCATTTATTTAATATATATGTATATATCATTCTAAAATAATCAAAAATATTATTTAAATTAATTTTACTATTGATATATTGAAAGTACCAGAAAATCATATGGCTCATTCACAATTGGGCATAAAAACGCATGCGGTACCATGGCCACGATCGGAGAAGCATGAGAAAACAACAAATAGCAGTCTTCTTATAATTCGTAGCCCACCACATTTCTCTAAATAAAAGTGCCAACACTATAAACCCCCAACTCAATGTGCCGACTACTTCAAGATCGATCAGGTGCCTCAACAACATACAAGCTACCTGGTTTCGAGATTTTTTAGACATCAATATACCTCCGATAAGTTGTAGTATATATGCCCGGGAAAATGTTTTTGCCTCGTCCTCCGAAAAATTTTCACGCAACTCTTTAAATTCACTTTTCAGCTACCCTAATGTTATTCGACCACCGTTGAAGCTAGGCAGGCAACTTCCAAGATACTCCATGCATAAACCCCCAATCATCATCTGCCTCACCACAAATGGTAGTTCCATCGATCAGGGAGCCCAAGTTGGAAACATCCTCTAGTGTAATGGTACACTCCCCACATGGTAGATGGAACTTGTGTGTCTCTGGCCTTTATCTCTCAATTAGTTCAGAAATCAGGGCGGGTTCAAGTTTACAACATCCTTCAATTTTTGCTAAGTAACTGAATCCAACCATAGATGAATTTGTCTAGATACGTCTCGGTGTTTCCATCTTCTTGTTGCGAATAAAAACTTCTAATATATGATCATTTTCCACACAAATAAATTCTAACCATTAAAATTTGAACTACTTTTTCTAAATTATTTAAATAAATTTTAATAAATAAATTTTAATAATTTTAATAATATATAATCGATTTCATAATATTCATAAATTTAAAAAGAATATAGGTTTGTATTCCTACTGTATCGTAAAATGACTCGAAATATGATCAACATCCAATCGCAACAACGCACCTTCTATGTTTTAACTGTAATTAATAAATATTAACTAACTGAATAAGTTTACATTTCAATAATAAAATAACAAATACTAAAATAAAATAATAATAAAATAATTAATTACTTAAATAATAAAAATTTTAATGAATAAAAAAATCAATTATAAAATCAATTATACCTTACTAGATTGATAATAGATATGAAGGAGAGATGTTTAGATGTGATTTATTTGAGTTGGGGAAGGGGTTTATATAGGCCGTCGATTAAGGAAATAGACGAAAAAATTTGGTGGGAGTTTTAGACGGGAAGGGGAAGGCGCACCCCATTAGATGTGTCTTTCAGAGTTGTCAGAAAACCCCGTTAAGGTGTACTCCTGTGGATGCGCCTTCTAGGGATATCAACTGCTCAGGCAATTTTCAGCTAAAGTGTTTTCCACTAACCGCGTCTCATCCTTCGATCATGCTAAAGCTCATTTCACCAAATGCGTTTCTTTTTCTTAGGTGTTAGATCAGACAATATTTGAGAAACAGTGACTGGCCGGTAATATTTTTTATTTATAGGATGATTTTGTTTTTGGTAAAAAAGCCACTTTTTAAATCTTGTTTTTCTTCTCCTCATAAGCAAAGAGTCCAAGAATTTTGCTTTTCTTTTTTTGGGGTATCCTGATTAGAAACAGAGAAGTTCAATTGAAAAGGCTTGCTACTTATGTATGTGTTTTGCTTTTTGATGTTGGAGTAGCTCTGTATTTTTCAAACTCAGGTAATTATTATAATCTCCGTTTTGTGCAATTGTGCTTCTTCATTTTCATTTTCTTTTTCTTTTAAAAATGGAGGATAAACAGACGAGCAAAAAATTATAATTCATGTTTTGGGTGCTTTTGGTTTTCACCGAATGAAATATTGGCTGGTGTTTTAAGAAAGCTGAAGGTGGATTTCTGTTGAAAACATGGAAGAAATGCAAATTTTGATCTGGGTTTTTGCTGGAAGATGAATAAAAGAAGGATCTTCAATTCGTGATTGAAGTAGAAGTTAAGCAAAGAAGAAATCTTGATTTTGATCGAAAATGGAGACACCAGCAACCGAGCAGCCAAGGGTTAAAGCTCCTAGGAAAAAGATGACCAAACAGTTAACCGGAAAACGGGAAGATACACCCCTACATTCTGCAGCAAGAGCTGGAAACCTTGCAGTGGTGAAAGAAATCCTTGCCGGAGCAGGGGAGAATGCACTGAAGGAGCTGATAGCTAAACAAAACCAATCCGGCGAAACTGCCCTTTATGTTGCGTCCGAATACGGTTATGTCGATTTGGTTAAGGAGATGATCAAGTATTATGATCTTGTTCATGCTGGGATGAAGGCAAGAAATGGGTTTGATGCACTCCATATTGCTGCTAAACAAGGGGATGTAGGTAAGTTTCCACACATGAGAAAGTTATTTTTGGTGATGAAGATGAGGTTTTAAGCGTTGCCCTTGTTGCAGATATTTTGAAAATGCTATTAGTAGTCCATCCGGAATTGGCTATGACGGTTGATTTGTCGAACACCACGGCTTTGCACACGGCCGCGACTCAAGGCCATATCGAGATCGTGAAGTTCTTATTGGAGGCAGGTAGTAGCCTGGCTACAATAGCAAGGAGCAATGGCAAAACAGCTTTACATTCTGCAGCGAGGAACGGTCGTTTGGATGTCGTGAAGGCACTTTTGGATACTGAACCCGGGATTGCTCAAAGGACCGACAAGAAAGGACAGACCGCGCTTCACATGGCGGTGAAGGGGCAGAATCTTGTGGTGGTCGAGGTATTGATTAGCGTTAATCCGTCGTTGATGATAAACATGGTTGACACCAAGGGAAACACATGCTTGCACATAGCTACCAGGAAAGGAAGAGCTCAGGTAAGTCAATTTAGCCATTCATATTTGACAGCAAATGCATCAATGCAACTGTTTCACCTATAGATAATAATTAAAATCCAATGGCTGCTAATTACATGGCTTATCCAGTGTGTATGAGAATAAAAATGTATGAATGACTGCTATGATTTCTTCCAAGAGAAAATGCTTCTCATTGCTGGTTGACTTGTTAACAAAGGCCTATAATCTCTCACAACTTGCCAGAAGAATTGAAGTGGTGGATTATTATATTTGAAAGGTCAAACTACTTGTTTCAACAATTGCTGCATAATCTTGACAATCATAGACGCTATAAGTTCATAATCTGCCTTAAAAAAGGTTTAATCAATATCTAATGAAATTTATTCTTGATTTGATTGTGATTTCAGATTTTTTTTTTCTTTTGGGAATGAAAGAAATAAATATTCCATTTATGGAGTCAAGATCAAGTAAGCTAATGTACTCTTTTTCTTTGTGCAGATTGTAAAGTTGCTACTTGGATTTCAAGAAACAGATACAACTGCTGTTAATAAAAGTGGCGAAACCGCTTTCGACACCGCGGAGAAAACCGGGCACCTGGAGATTGCATCCATGCTGCAACAGCACGGGGTTCAAAGTGCTCGATCCATCAAGCTGGCAGCGCCGAATCCGGCACGAGAGTTAAAACAAACCGTGAGTGACATAAAGCATGAAGTGCATTATCAACTAGAACACACCCTCCAAACCCGAAAAGAAGTGCATGGCATAGCCAAAAGACTCAACAAAATGCATTACGAAGGTCTTAACAACGCAATAAACTCCACCACTGTTGTCGCTGTCCTAATTGCTACCGTTGCTTTCGCTGCCATTTTCACCATCCCTGGCCAATATGTCGACGACCCGAATGACATTCGGCCTGGTCATTCACTCGGGGAAGCAAATATAGCACCGAAGCCTGCTTTTATAATCTTCTTCGTCTTCGATTCCATCGCCCTCTTCATTTCTCTAGCTGTTGTGGTGGTTCAGACCTCGGTCGTAGTGATTGAGAGCAAGGCAAAGAAGCAGATGATGACAATTATCAACAAGTTAATGTGGTTGGCTTGTGCGCTTGTTTCGGTCGCATTCTTAGCCTTATCATTTATTGTGGTTGGCAAAGACCAAAGGTGGCTTGCAATTGGAGTGACAGTTATAGGAACTAGCATAATGGCCACTACTTTAGGCACTATGTGTTATTGGGTGATTAGGCATCGGATCGAGGATTCGAAAATGAGAAGTATACGAAGATCATCGCAGGCGAGCCGGTCACGATCCTGGACTATGTCTGTGATGTCTGATCCTGAGGTTCTAAACAATGAATTTAAGAAAATGTACGCTATTTAGCTAAGATTCTTGCCTCATCTTTTTTTGTATTTCAAGGTGTCCGTAGTCTTTTTTTTTTCCCATTCTCTGTATTTATGAATGAGGTCTGATGAAGGCTATGGTTGAATACAATTTCTTAGCCACCTGCATTAATGAAGAAAGCAGAATACTCAGCATTTTATAAGCATTTTGCAGAAAATGAGATGAATCTGATAACATGCGAGGCAAATGTAGCCAAATCAAACCAGATTTGTTTATATATTCATCAACATATTTGTTTAGCGTTTGTCAACATGTCTGTTTAACTTTCACGGACATATTTACTTATATGTTAAAAAAAATAGTGAAATTATACCACTAGTCCTAAAGCTCTTTAGGCTTCACAATTTAAACTCCAAAATTCACACAATGTTCAATTCAATCTCGACATTCACTAATATTTAAAATGTAAAAAAAATGAAAAGAAAAATCAAGCAAACGAGCTTATAAATGAATCAATAAATACGCAAAAAAACAAATTTCAAATGAGTTAATTCTTGAACATAAACGAACTAAACATATATCTATCTGTGTTTATTCGTTTATTAAATAATCATAAAATTTTTATTTATACTAATTTATTTAACTTGAAAAACAAACATAAATAAACGTTATATAAATAATTCTCGAACAATTTGTAAAACGTTATATTCATTTATATTTCTAGAAAAAAGAAAAAGAAAAAAAGAGAGAGGAAAGATAGCAATGATCTAGAACCCGACCTTCCACTACAAAATCAAAAGAGAATGTTGACAAATTTGATGTTTGAAAAAAATAAAAATAATGGGCCGGCAGTGGTTGATTGATGACATGGGATGGCCCATCCATAATGGAGAGGTCAACCAAGTATCAATGCACATAACAGAGGAAGAAAACGTGAATAAGCCAAAAATGCATTTAGAAAAGTAAAATATGAGTGAACTTCTACCCATATACGACTCAACCATTGAGCCCATATATTCTTTGAATTGGAATAAGTTACACTATGAATATGTATTTGATACATATATAATTATTTACGTTCTTATCACTTATCAGAATATATATGAAATTTCCTTCAATACTTTTAAGAAAATAAATAATTAAACCTATCAAACGATTTCAGTGATAAAAGAGAATATCGATTTTTTTAGAGATTCTAGATTCGAGTACATCATCTACAATGTGTATGTACATTGTAAACAGATTAAAAAAATTTCAATAGATAATACCATGTACTCACGCTAACATATTAAAAAAAAGGTAACATCACTCGACTATTTAACCCTTTTACTTTTATCATCGATCTTTTAATTATGTCAATTAGACCACTTAACTATTTAATTATTTCAATCAAGCCACTATCCGTTAACAATTGACGGAAATGACGGAAATGATGATGTGGCAGTTAAAAAAATTTACATAATTATATATTTAGTCCTCAATATTTATATATTCTACTATTTTGGTCCTAAATCAAATTAAATTTAATAAATTAACCATGCAATCATAATTAATTTAATTAAATATTTTTTCTATCCAATCAAGAGGTGACATGTGTCACCAGCCGATTGGATAAAAAATAAAGAATAAGAAACTGCTCTCAAGGGGAAATCGAACCCATGCCCAAAGGGAGAGATGTTAAGCGGCAGAACCACTGCACGAAAGGTTCCCAATTCTAGACAAATTATCCTTTGAAAGATTCTTAATGGTAAAAAAAAGTAGAAGTAAAAAGAAGTTATAATTAAAATCTAGACAAATTAAAATGTAAAAGAGAAAATAAATAATTAAAATATTTTAAAACTAAATTTAATATTTTTATAATTTTTATAATTAGTGTATATATAATTAAAATGAAATTATAAAAATAAATATAAAAATATTAAATCTAAGATTTAAAATATAAAATCTTAAATTTCGTTGATTAAAATTTAAAATACAATAAAAATATTAGATTTTTAGTTATTTATATGCTCTTTTATTTTTTAATTTGTCTAGGTTTTAAATATAATTTCTTTTTAATTTGTCCTCAAGATATTTTTCATCATTCGTTAACTGCTACTAGTTTGATTGAAATAATTAAATAGTTAAGTGATCATATTGACAAAATTGAAAGATCGATGACAAAAGTAAAAAAAGTTAAATAGTCAATTGGCCAACTGAGTAGTTTACCCTAAAAAAGAACACCATAAAGTAACGTACTTTAGCTTTGATCAAATATGCCGGAATTTCATGCAAGCCCATAATACGGGAATTTCTAACGCTAAAATAAAGTGTTATCGGTTTTGTTATTATTCAAATAATAAAATTAGTAAAAATTTATCTAAAATATTATTATTTTTTTACATAAAATATTAATTTTTTAATATTTCTGGTAAAAGTGCCCAACAATAATAAAATTGGTAAAAAAATAACAAATTCGGTAGTGCTTTACCAAATCCGGTAAAACGCCCAATAATAACAAAATCAGTAACGCCTAATAATATTTCTGGTCATTTTTTACATGTTTTGTTATTTTTACTGTTTGCTTGCAAGGCTGTAATCAGATCAATCAGATCCATGATTTTTGTCATGGGGCTGAATCCATATCCAAATTGGCCCATGATATTCTCTTCAACCTTCAATCTTCCAAGCATTATATGAAATATCAGAATCTACATAAAAATGTTTAAAATATGCATAAATTATCTTTAAAATAATTATGAAAAAAATTCAATCCCAATGCCAATAAACTATTGAATTGAGAGATATACATTATTATAATTATATTTGTATTTCATATATTCCTATGCAAAAATACAATTCCATCGTAAGGTAGTATATGTTCAGATTTTGTTTTACTTATTGACAACACATATACACCCTGTAGACATAACTGTGCAAACCCAAAACCTTCAGGAAGAATAATATTTTCTTTTACACTAATGTAACACTCCAATTTTCAGGTTAGTAGTTTTGGGTAAAATCGGGTGACTTTTGGAAAATTCAAATGATTAATTGGATGCTCAAACTAGTTTGGGTTTGCTTTTGGTTTGGGCTTAAACATATTTGGACTTATAAAAGGTGTTTTTGAATTGTGAGTAAAGTAGGGAGGACCAAGAGTGTAATTCACCCCTTTATTGTTTCAAAGGCTGATTATTTTTTATTATGAGTGAGAACTTTGTTGGTCTGCATCCTTAGTCCAGAAATCTTAATGTAAGTTTGGAAATTCTCATCTTTTAAGCTTATATTCAAATTCCTTGCAAGTTTTGACTGTGGAAACCTTAAGAGTGAGTTTAAGATGAGTTTTGGGTTTTAAGGTTCAAAAATGTTATCAATGCATTTTTGTAGCTTAGGAATCAAGTTTGAACTCTTTTTACCTCCCTAAATGAGTTAATAACTCATTTATTTATCGTTTGATTAGTAAAAGAGGTGAAAGAAAGATCCAAATGCAATGGCAAGGAGAAGCTTGTTCTTGGGTGAGCTTGGAGTGTTTTTTGTAGCTTAGGAGAAAGGTAACACACTTTTAACTCATTCATACTGTTTGTAGACCCATTTCATGTAAATACTAAACTTGTATGAAAGTATGAAATATATAGGTGCATTTTCGTTTGAACATGGTTTTGGATGAATTTGTTGTTATCAAAGCATTGAAATAACCTATTATGATCTCCTTTAATATATTTAAGTTTCACATAATGTTTAAGGGCCTTATAAGGGAAAATGTGTAGAGTTGGGTGTAATTTTGTGCTCAAAACAGAGCATTTTTGGGTTTTGGTACCGATACTAGATGAACAGTACTGATACTATTCTTCAGGTAGTCAAGAACAAGGGTTTTTAGTTGGTGGTATCGATACCTTTCTGGTATCGATACCCAAAGGTGGGGTATATGTATCATCTTTAAGTTTTAGTTTTTAGAATACAACTTTGGTATTGGTACTAAGGTAGAGTACCGATATTGAAGGGTCAATATCGATTCCTAAGGAGGAGTATCGATACTATAGGGTTTTATCAGTTTTTAGAATACTATTTTTGTATTGATACCCAAGACGGTATCAATACCCAAGTGGAGAGGTACCAATACTCTAGTTAAGGGTATCAATACTACAAGACTTTTTCAGATTTCAGAATGCAAGTTTGGTACAGGTACCCAAGTTTGGTACCAGTACCCAGGTTGGGTACCGATATCGAAAGGTCGGTACTGATACTAAAGGACTTAGTATCGACACCCTCATACGCAAGAAGCCTAGTTTGAGTGTAAAGGCTTGGGAAAAGGGGTCTAGGGTCATCAGAACTACCCTAATGAACCTATAAGTGAGAACAATAAATGAATACAAAAAAGTTGAGAACTTTATGAACTAAGTTGTCATAAAACTAGCCTTTGTGTGATGTTCGGGAAATAACAAGGACATTCGTGTTACTTATGTTTGCTTGATAAACCCTTATGTGAGGGTAATATCCGGATATGCCTAAGTTAGTTCTTATGCACTTAAAATGCTAGTTGGACATAGGCTCTGATACTAAGTGAGCTTGGAGGAATTCCAAGTACTCCTAAGGCGTAGACTAGCAGAACGTAGGTTCCGATGCTAAGTGACCCCAAAGGCATCCTAGGTACTTGCGACCTGAGTCTATGAGGCCTTTCTAGATGAAGATTCTGATATTAAGTGACCCGATTCTTATCTAGGGTACCTTGTGGTAGAGAAGCTGCAACGGATGAATGAATGTAGCTCTTATCAAAGAATCAACCCTATAAAGCTCTAGACTCGATCAAAGAACGAGATGGAAAAGAGAATTGAATGGGAGATGAAAATTAGGGTTTTAAGGAATTTAGGGTTTCTGGAAATTGATCAAAAGAAATAAGATTAAGATAATAAAGATGTAATAAGAAAATAAAAGAAGACAAAGAATATAATAGGTGAAATCACCATTTTTTTATTTTTTTATTATTGTTATTATTATTATTATATTCCAAAAATAAATAAAAAGGGAAAAAGTTAGTCAAAAAAGAGGGAAATAATCCCGTAAAATATGTTATCCATTGCTGCCACTCCTACCCAATCAGTGCCTGACATGTCAATCGCCTGTCACCGCCGTCTACGCCGACATCTGACCCGCTGATCACCTGCAGCAGTCCTCC